GACGGCCATATTAGCACTACTGAGGACACCATCAGGCAACAAGAAAGGTTGCTTAAGGCCCATTTTCTCTCTGCAGTGAAATAGACCTCACAGCCAATTGCAATATTCAAAACTGACTGATACAAAACTATTTAAGAAAATATCGAGTATCCAAAGGAAACCAAAGGCTGGGATGTTAAAGCTTTTAAGAAGGAACTACTCCAAAATGTTCTATACCTTCCACCTGAACTCTACAAGAAAGTCAACAAGGTGCATTGCAAGCTCGCTGTAAAGACCAAGAACTCAACAGCTACCCCAAAATCGCAGATTATAAAGTTTATAGACTACCCAGCAAAATAAACATTATAAGGCAGACTTTGACATGTGAGAGAGTGCTACTTGAAGGAGAACTGATCTTGTTTGTTCAAAACTACGACGTCAGGTTTAAAATGTATGTAAATTACAAGTTATTGGCAATAAAGTGAAGTAAAAAAACACAAAGGCACTATATTTAACCTAAAGTTTCAACAAGCCTTTGTATTATTGGCTGTCCTTGGTTTTCCTTTGACTGCATCTGTGTTTAATAAATAATGCCACTGTATAATGTGTTGTTGAGTTTTTATTTGAAGTTAGAACCTGTAATTTTTTCCTTAAATGTTGAATATGATGGAACAGATGTGGTGTTCATACAAAACTTTTTTTACTGCCACAAAAGCCCACTGAAATAAAGAACTTTCGTTTTTAGAAAGGGACATGATTGCTAATCCAGCTCAGCAGCAGCACTATATTAAGGACAAAAAAAATATATATATATATATAAAAAAGAAACCAAAGCTAAATTCTAACAGCAAGGTTTGTGAGGGTCAAACCTTTGCAAGATGGCTCAGGCAGGTTTAAATCACATGCTGACAGGTGCTGTCAATTATGACAATTAGGAAAAGGTGCCCTGCAAAGTGCTCTGACATCCAATCAAGGACAAGATGAGACTCTGATTGTCTAATACCATGTGTGTATTTTTTTTCTCCTGCAAAATAGGTAAAGCCATCCCACCTCATGTTTCCCTAAATGTCTTTATTATATTTCTCATCACTTTATGAGCATTGCAGCGAGCTATCCCCCTAGTTTACCTAACACTATGACACTTCCAGAAGTCTTTGTTATAATGAAGCCTAAACTCCTGTTTTCCTTCAGATCGTCTGTGAAGTGTTAATACTCACAATTGATTGACGTCTTCATAGGAACTCTGGGGGATTGTGTTCAGTGGAGCGTACACGGTTTGGCGTGCACGGACATCCACGCTGCAGATGTGCTTCCTTGCAATGCGAAATTCTAATGATTGGGTAAACTCTGACTATTGGAATGTCTTATTTTAATCATTTTTGTCTATTTGATCTAGAGTTGTTTTTAAATTTTTGCGAAGTGTTTGTTTTTGTACAGTCACATTTAAAGTGTTAAAATCCACGCCCTGAAAATAAATAGTCTAAGGAATGCCAATAATGATAATGATAAAGAAGCCATGTTTAAACAAGTAAAAAAATCAATTCATGGACTTTATTTTTATACATGTATATCTATATACGTATATATATATATATATATATATATATATATATATATATATATATATATATATATATATATATATGTATATATATATATATATGTATATATATGTATATACATTTATACAGCTGCAGAATTTAAAAATGAAAAAAATGGAGAATGCCCCCTCAAGAATAATTGTTTTTATGAAGAAATGTTTGCCCTAATTAATGGAACTTCTTATTTTAATCATTTCTGCCATCCTCTTTCAGTCTCTACAACAGCCCTTAGGCTTCAGCAGTAATATTTCAAAAGGTTGGATTGTAGAGATGGTATGATCTATGGGAGTCCTCTTTAAACAAGCTCTGCAAATGGTCAGGAGCTCTGGTTGTTCTCCAGAGCTCCTGACCATTGGAGCCTTTCTTTGCATCAAAAGCTGTATAAGAAAATCTTTATTTCATATGAAAACTGTTTAGAATGGAACAGAAATTATCACTTTGATATCAAAGTTTGTTTTAAAAATATAATGTAGTACAGTAAGCTATTTGGACTTTTTCAATTCTAAAAAAACCACCTTTCTTTTAAAAATAGGAGCCAAAAATTATTTTTTCTAGAGATTGGGCAATTCCAAAGGCTCTCTGCTTACAGCAATATCAACTATAAAACCTTTTAGCATTTCTAAGTTTATATATTCTGAATCATAACCAAGGAACAGCTCATCTTCAGCTTGCTGACAGATCCCATCAAAGTTTGATTCAAATTATCATAGTAAAAAAAAAAAAAAAGATTTATTGGTGCCAAGTGCTCCAGAAAGGTTTTCCAGTGCATTTGGAAGAAAAGTAATTCCACAGCCTTAAAGGTCCTTCACCTTATCAATCCTTTGTTTCACACCAAATATAGCTGGAATCTCAGTAGAATTCAGCAAAATCTGCATTTGTTTTTTTGCGATGCACTCTAAAACAGCTAGTTACTTAATGGATTTGGACTTGGAGACTGTTTTGAGGCACCTGCTTCTTCCCTTAATACTTTTTTTAAACCATCTTATCATGTCTGAAATAAAGACGAAGTCTGCTTTCATACGTAGCTCCTTCATAGGATGTGAAAGTGAAGTGATTGATTGGCCGTGTAGAAATTCGGTGATTAGGTGAAGGAGTAAATGGCTATTTCTTAAGATTAACCCACATTTGCTTAAGTTTAATGGCATGAAATGTTTTTTTTTTTCCTCATCTTAAAGGATGACTAAGAAAGGAGGCATCTGTGTCATAAGATCCTTTCAATCAAAAGAATCAGAAGGTCACACATTATTAATCAGAAGTTATTGGACATTCTTATAAACTAAAAAAATCGGGTATAAATTAAAACATATTCTGTATTTAAAACTATGGCACAAAGAATTAAATTAAAACCCATTATTTTTATACAATATTTTATCATATGGGTTTTTTCAACACTAATTAAAGATACTCAGATTACAGGTTATAATTCATTAAGCATCAGACTATGCTGCTATTGCTGGGGATTATTCAATCTAATGTTATTTATACATTTTAGGGTTCGTGAATTAAGAACTTTGAGCAAAACAAAAAACATTTTGTAACCCTGAAAATGTGTTTTACCCACATTTCTACTTAAATGTTTTCTTATTGGTTCTTTAAACCTGGGATGCTGATCTAGGTAATTTTTCTTACCGGGTACTTAAATAATTTTTTGACTGTATGGGTAACCCATTACTGACCTTCATGAAACTGTACCGTTTTTATTTAACCAGTTTAAATTAAACTTTGTTTTGAGCTCCACCCAGCTTTCACCACACATGTGCGTCAGCTGGAACCATAATGTGGAAACTGTTTGCTGAGTATTTCTGCAAATATCACAAAAAAGATTGGTCTGTTTGGCTCTTTTACCAACTTTAAAAAAAGGTGCTGTGCACCTCAGCATGATGTCTCTTTAGTTTAAAAATTTAGGAGCATGTAAGCCTCACCACGAGGTGCCTGAGGTAACAGCATGGGTGAGTCATCAGTCGCATTTATTCCTATGAATATGATTTCTATTTTAAAATGTGGGGAGGTCTTTGAAGAGGTGCCGTGGAGAGCTAGAAAAAAGCCTTACCTGTTGGTGGAGGAACTCAAGAGTTTAACACAAACCAGAGCTTTAAATTGCTGTAGATTTGCTAAAAGACTCAAAATACACATTGAAATTAAAATGTTACACAGAGTCAGGACTTTTCTCCTTCAACATGTATCCATTAAAACATCCATGATTAGAAAACTGTTTTACCAAAAGGTTTATGGTCAAAATCACAAAGTTTAAAACCGTTCTTTGTTTTTTATTTTACCATTAAATTATCTGTGAAATGTAATTTCTATTAATTCATCTGTTTCTCAACCAGTACATTTGCCCCTTAACCTGAATATCTTTACTGAATTTATTTCTTTACTCTTGGTCTAACCTAGGTTTACATTTATGCATTTTTTTTTTTTTATCAATTTGTCATTTGTATTATGATATATTTTTATTTAGATATTGTACTAGTTATTTTAACAGTTTATTCAACACATATTTTATTCAATTTTTGAATACATTATTGTAGGTAATGTAAGTTTTATGTTTATGTTTTCTGATGTAGTTTTTATTTTATGTATTTTATTATTTTGTAAATGCTTGTAAGATTATTAATACATATTTGAGACGTTTATTTTAACAAAACATTTAGAATCACTTTTCATTTAATGGTTTAAAAAAAAATAAAAAAATCTTGTAATTTCTAATCTTTTCCTCTGCTGAAGCAGCAGCTTGATTTTGTCTGATTTTCTTCATTCTTTTTATGTTTTCACTCTTTAACATTTAGTAGTGATCCAGTAATTTTGTTTTTAGCTGCCTCCATCTTGGTCCTCCTGATGGTAGAGTTTTGTCTCCACTATTTTCATGTGTTTTCACAGAAACCAATGGCTTTAAGTTGGTTTCCTTATTTATAAAACTTTATTCTAACTTCACTAATATACTGAATCTGACAGGACTGAGAAAGCCAATGTAAGTAAAACTGGATCCGTCTTGGTTTAGTTCTGTAAAAAGTCTCCGAATTGACTTTTTGTTGAAAAACATTTTTAAAGGGAAACAGTCTGGTTGTCAGGAAAACAGTGATAATGACTTAATCCTGGCGTTGCTGATGTCGGTTGGCACCTCTGTCAGTGAGCGCGAAAAAAAACAACAAAGAGAAAACGCCGCCTTTTATCCGAATCTTGTTTTCACCTCTTAATGTGCTTTGTGTCCCCTCAGATCATCACCTCTGACAGCCTATAGATTTTTTTTGGCTTTTACATTTTTTCTTTTTCCCCCCTCGAACATGAACAGTATTCCCTTTTGCGCTCTAAACAGCGGGATATGGCAGCAGTATGGCTGCTCAAGGACAGGCTGGCACATTTCCTCGAGTGTGAAAAGGTGAGGGGAATTCCCTCCCAGTGAGGTCAGGACACCTGTGCTGCTTTAGATGTTAACCCCCAGGTGTTCACACCTCACGTTTTTATTTATTTCAGATTTCACAGGTGCTTCAGATACACTCAGCAGTTGGAAGGAGCCCAGGTACAGTCGCTCTGAGAGGAAGAGGCACAACAGAAAATTCAGTTCTTGTACGATGAGCTCTTACACAAACTTCAAATATATTTACAATAATAAACAATCATTGATTCATACCATGTGATATTTACAGTTATTACAAACAGCAGTTTTTCCCAGCTGGGCTGGATTTTTAAAAACAATTCACATTGTCTCATCTTTTTATTTCCAGAGAAAAGGAGGAAAATCAAAAACCCTTTGAGGGCAAAAAGAGTCTGGTCAAGTTAATGCCAAGAAATCTGTGGAACAATACAAACACTTTAATCGTGTAATTAACAATCAATAACCACTTCTAGTCAAAATATCTCTGCAGAGACAAAACCGAGAAACACTTAGAAAACAGTCAGTCGGTTTGTAACAAAATAACAGGTGTTCTCGTTGAAATGAAGGCTTTAAAAAAAGGAAAACACTTTTTGTACAGGATCTTTACACAGCCGGAGCTTTCCCAATCGGACCGTTGACCAAAGGAAGACGCGTCGCAGACATCAGACCTCACACAGATTGCATATGTTTTTTTTTCTAATTAACTCTTTCTAAGCTCGCCTACAGGTTTGCCGTCCCACCGCAGCTTATTTGCATGATAGTAAAAATTGCATACAACAATAATAGTGAAGCTTGTAGCATGATCTGCTCGACGGACAGCACTTTATAGGCAACCTTTAAAGCACGCTTCTCCGTTTAAGACACTTTTTGTTTTTACTGCCCGTTGAAGTCAGACTTATAAATAGGAACAGAAAAAAAAAAAGATTGGAGATTAAAAAAAAGAAAAAGGGGAAATGAGAACGTTTCAAAATAAAAAACTGTATTTATACATCAGAAACACTGCATGAACCGCAAATAAATAACGCCGGACAACAGAACATTTCATCCATTCACATTTCTAACTGTGTGGCATTTCACAAGTTACAGTGACGAAGGTTTTGCAAAATAATCTAACATCGGCAGTGCCGTATAGTACAAGGCATTTGTTGGCATAGTTTCTTTAAGACTGTACTTTGTATTTTTTTACAGTTACAATATAATGTCTATATATATTTATATTTATTATTCCTCCCTAACAGATAATAAGTACAGATTGAGCTCTTCTCGGAGATGCACCTGGGCTCTGGGTGATTGCAGTGATCCAGAATCACGTTACGCTTTTTTTGTAAAAGAATAACTTTTCCGCCAGCAGGCCCCAGACTTGATACCTCATGATTAAGGCCTTGACAACCACTTGGTCCTTGATTTCATCTGCTTTTTAAAAAAAAAAAAAAAAAAAACATTACATACATGAACACTTATCGAACTCCTTGGGGACTTTTGTTTTTTTTTCGGAATATAATCAGTAGCTCAAAAAGAGAAGTCAGTGTAAAACGACGTACATCGAGTGCAGCCAGCAAATATCCACGCCAACATAATTACAATAACTTTTTTTTTCTTTTTGTGCAGATTATGAAAATGATGCTTCAGTTTTTCTGTTATTTTTTTTTCTTTTTTTTTTTTTTTTACAGTGATTATTACAAGTTTTACAAAATCCAAAAAGTAGTCCTGGTTTCAGTGAGTCTGAAATGGGCTCTCCAGTGTGTGATCACATATTTCCATATAAACACGTCTCATCGGTCCGGACGCCGAACACCCCGAGATCAGGACTCCTCCTCGTGCTCAGCGTGGGGGGAGGGGGAGCGTTATGATCAGTCTACGGGCTCTGTCTGGGTCCTACTTGACCTCGTGCTCGGACTCGGACTGCACCTCGCCTCCGCGGCCCAGGTGCTCCTCCATCTTGATGGAGAAGATCGTGGCGGTGGTCTGCGTGCTCTCGTCCAGCTCCTTCAGCAGCTCTCCGCTCTCTCTGAAGTCCGTCAGCTCCTCCTCGAAGGCGGGGCTGCTCCTGCTGCTGTTGCTGCTGCTGGTGTTCGCCGCTGTGCTGCCGCCATTGTTGGTGGCGGTGGAGTTGTTGCTGCTGGGGTCTTTCGCAGCCTTAGCAGGGTGATTGATGTAAAAGCGCTGGTTCTGGAAGAACTTGATGATGGTGAGCTTGGGGAGGTCCAGCTGGGCCGACAGGGTGTGGATGGCCTCCTCATCGGGGTACAGGCCAACGTCCTGGATGAAGCTCTGCAGGATCCCCAGAGCCTCCAAGGAGATCTTCCCACCGCTGCTGCGGGACTTGACACTCCGGCTGCCCTCATCTTCAGTCTCGGCCGGGGAGGCTGTGGACGGCTGACGGGGCGGCAGGCGGGGGCCCGCGTTGCTCTGTTGTTGCTGCAAAGGCTGCTGGGATAAAAGAGGCTGGGAGGGGTGGAGGGACAGGGAGGGCTGGAGCTGCTGCTGACTCTGAGGCGGCTGAGCCTGGAGTGAGAAAGATAAGGATGTCAGGATTATTTCAACATTTCACTTTCTAAATTTGACACAGTTCAGTTTTAAGGTTATTCTGACTGTTTTTAAAACACCATGCACATCTAAGAACACAAAAAATACCATATTTCATTCATTCATTTTCATTCATTGTGCAATAAAGGGCTATTTCACCAAAGATTGTAATGCTTCAAATTTATTTCAAATTTAAATTAAAATATTTTATTGGTGTAATTTTACTCCCTCAAACACATCTTAAATTGCATTCCAAATGTAAACTGCTTAAAAAAACAACAACCTGGAGTTTAGTTTGAAATAACTGAGTGGATCTAAGAGCAACAAAAGGGAAAATTGTCCTCTTTTGTTGAAGTTCTGTTGACAGTATCTTACCTACAGCTTTTTAGTGTGATAGTTTATTAAAAGTCCACATTATATGGACCTGGAAGTTTCTGCTAACAGCCAACATAAGAAGAGCAGAGACCAAAGAGGATCTCTGACATCTTAAAGAACTTCACAGCAGTTTATTCAAATAAAACTTCATATACCTTTCTTCATGTTCTTGCTGCCTGTTTAAAGAGAAGCTAGTGATTGATTACATGCACTTAAAAAAAATTAAAATCTCCATAGGCCATTTTTTCTTGAATTGAGGATGTACGTGAGACACTTTGCCAACAGAACAAAACTATTTACATTTAAAATAAGAAAGAAAAAAACTGGATTGTCTTATTTCAAGTTCATATTTTGTAATTGTCTTGTTTTAAGAGTAAAAATATTAATCCCATTGGCAAATTATCTTATTTACCTGCTCAAATTAAAGGTAAATACCATTAATTCAATTTTTTTCTAGATCGTTTTTCCATAGGAAAGCTGTAATCAATAATCAGCTATGGATTGGTTGTTTTTAGATGATTTAATCTCGGTCCGTCTCAGACAAACTTAAAATCAAACATAAGGACCAGCTGGTTCTGGACTGAATAAAAACAGTAAAGGTATTGATCTACTTCAGTCAGATTTCAGCTTCTTTGAACCTTTAACCAGAATCTCATTTCCAAAACTGTCCTATCGCTTTGTTGAAACCTGATCAAGCTTTAAAACTCTAAACCTTGTTACAGGAAGCTTTTACTAAGCTTTGCACCGGTTAACTGTTGACTCTCATTTTCAGGGTAAAGGCGACAACATCACCCTGGTAGAGACACTAAAGACCTCTACACACAGCAACAAACACAAACCAGTGGTTCAATTCAGTCCACAGCAGCTTATCAGTCTCCAGACTTATCCGGCATTAAAGCCATTCCTGTGCACAACCCGTGCAGCGGCAGCCCGGCTGGTTTTCTACTACCGCTGGCTTTCACTTTGCCTTCGGTCGGAGTCCCGTCGGTGTAAACATATGACACATTACTTGTAAAATGTCTCATTGTGCGGCAGGAGAGGGAGCGAGTGGGCAACTCGTGGTCCCTGTTGACCCGGCGAAATGGCTGCTCTTGTGTTTTCATTTCTGAGTCAGACGCTGTCGATAGGTGTTTCATAATCAAGTTTGCAAAACAGCACTTTGCAGGGACTCAGCTTGCCAGCTGCATAAATGCACCCAGAGATGTGATATTACTGAACCAATATACTGAGCTCTGGTAACTCTTGTTGGGCAAATGGGAGTTAATTTGGCTGATGTGTCGTGTTAGTGAAAGACCTGCAGAAAATATTTAAACCCTGTTTTTTTTTATGGACAGTAAGGAGCTGCAGCATTAAATCAGAAATAATCTAATTTCATCCATCTACAAGCATTTCTGTTTGCATGCAAAGTCCACATAAAAACTCCCTCATTCCATATCTGCTGCAGAAAGAAATCCTATTACCTTATTTATATCCAGTAAATGAGAGTCTTTGTGAAACAACTGGCCGTGTATCTAAGGAACCAAAAAAACAAATCAAGCAGTCAGCTGTGGCACGGACTTTTAATAGGAGTATTATTGTGCTTCATTAAGATGTTTCTACCGTTAACTGAGCCTTTGTGTTATTTGTTATTCATACGCCAGATGTCTCGTATAAAGCAGCTCTGTTAACTAAGTTCAGCCTAATGATATCTTTGAAAACAGCTTCCTGTGAAAAGTAGGAACTTTGAAGTGTTGCTGTGGTTCTAATTTACAAGTGTTCATTACGAGTCTTAAGCGTTGTTTATTTATTTTCCCCGAATATTAGCTGAAATTACATTAAATGAGAAAAAAATGGTGCTTTTCTACTTGTTTTTGACGGAGACTTTTAGGATCTCATAAGCAGATTGTTATCAAGAGAGTCTAGTCCTGCGTCTCACAAGCAGTGTTTACAAATTTATTCAGGCTGCAAAAGTGATTCGGTTCCAAAGGCAGTTTAATAACTGATTATTCTCACTCCGATCAGATGACTCATTTAGCAACTAAACTGTCCAATAAAAGCAATAAAAACTTCTATGAATCTAAGAGTCGGATTTAAATTGTATGAGAAATTAGAAGAAAGGGAAACATGCATTTTAAAAGATTTGGTTTAGTTCCAGCAATGAGGTGGAATCCATCCTGGTAGGAAGGATCTTGTCTTTATCAGAAATGTTTCCATCTAACCTTAAATGTACAAAAATCACAACAAATTCCACACTTTATTTAAAAAACAAAGATGGAGTCTAACTGCTGCCAACCTGCTTTACATTTGTGATGCAATAACTGGTCGCCCGTTGACTTTAGCCTCGTGCTTTGTGAATTTCAGCATGAAGGAAAATCAAATAGAGATGTGGATTGATGTTTTCGGTAATCGATTATATGATTTGTTTTGTTACATCCCTAATTAATTAGTCGATAGTTTTATCAGAGTGTGGAGCCTAAATATACAGGTATTTGCTGACACTATGCTAGGATGGAAAGCTAACAGCAATAGTTTACAGAGGAAACTGTTTTCTAAAAACATATCTGAATCCAATATGTTTGAAATTAGAAGAGTTTTTGATGAAATCTTTTATCAAAATTCTCCAAATTTAGTCCTTATAATTTGTCCTTTCATGAAGTTAAATGTTTCATATGTTCACTAACGTGTCTGGAGTCAGATCCTCTTTTTTTATCATTATTTCTCTGGGTATTGTACCATCTCAGATAAAAAAAAATGAATGTGGCAGCTGGGTTAAATGTTTTTGCCTTCTGAATAATTAATTTCAGTGAACAATGTTCAGCTATAGTTTGTCTGGAAATGACCTTATAACACTGCTTAGACATACTGTTATAAAAACAAACATTATACGAACCGACAGGCTGCTACTTTATATATTTTATCAAACAGAAGCAAAAGGGATTAACCTATTTGTTCATCTATAGTTGTTTATATCAGTTTTGTCTTAATGAACAACAACAAAGTGGAATCTGTATTGTAGTTCTATTTAATTTAAGTTAACTTGGGTTTTTGCACATGGTAAAAAAAAAAAGATAAATCAGACAGTCCAGAGATTTAAAGAGGGCTTACTTTATAAGACTGCTCTAATATTTAAACAATAATTAAAGTGGGATTATAAGGCTTGTGGTTTCTCCGTTTGTATCCGGATCTGATTAAACGCTCTGCTCACCTGAAGCTGCTCGGTGGAAACGTGTATCAGGTGTGACGGCCGCTCGTTGTGGTGCTGCTGCCCGGAGCTGCTCTCCTGCTCGTAGATGACGTCGCGCTCGGCCTGAGAGAGGCTCAGGAACCGACGGATCATGGACAGGTTTTCCCAGAGCGTCCGGTTCTCTGGAGACGGATCCTCTTTCCAACGCAGAAGCTCACAGAGCCAACCCTGGATTGAATAAATGAAGGAAAAAACAAAGTTTAGTAAATGATCGACTGTTAAACCCAAGATTAGAGCAAAGTTTGGATTTATTGTGGATCAAATCCAAACAGTTAACATCCTTTTAAGCTGAAAACATAGAAAAATCTTAGCAGAAATAAAAAACAGAGATTAAATCAAGCATCTTGGTTATTTAATTTATTACAAGCAGTCTTAAAGGTGGTGAACAGAAACCATATGCAACCCAGAAGAAAATAACCCCCCCACACACACACAACCTGAGCCGGCACTTTGTGTGTTTCTCTTCCACAGGTGAAGAAAACGAGCAGAGTGACTGGAGGTCAAGCAGCACAGCGGGAAGGAACAATTTAGCCGATAAGAAGCACTCATTCTCACACTGAGCAGCACCCTCAGGAGGAAACAAGTGACTCGTGTGTTTGAGACGCTCCAGCAGAGGGCTACGAAACACAGAGCTCAGAGAAACCACATCTAGGCTGTCACATTAAACACAGAGTTGGTGGATTTTTATGGCTCCAGATTTTTTTTAAAGAATAAAATAAAGCCTTCAGAGGTTCTGCATTATATATTTGTAAGGTAAAGAAAAGAATGATTTTAGCGTGTTGCATTATGCTAACAGAATGAAATAACTCAACAATTAGTTTGAAAAAAATGGCCAGAAATATTTCTTTCTTTCATGTGATATTAAAAATTTAATGTAAATGTAGAAACAGGGCTGAGCTTTATCTTTTTTTTTTAAATATATTTCTCTTTCAAGGTCTGGCAAATTGATTCAAAAGTTTAAAAATACAAAATAATTATAAATCTGAAAGCTTTGAACTCAGTACTTTTTAAAGTAATATTAATAAAAGAAATATCAATACATTTTTTAAACTAGTGCAAAGTTAGAATACAAGTTATAAAAACTAAGTACTCTAGAAAATATATATATTTTTAAATATCAAGCGTGTACTGAAGAAAAAAGGAGAGGTGAGGTGTGCTACAAAAAGAAACAAAGGTTTTGTGTCCAAAACTCCCACAATTTCAGGGAACAAAATGATGAAACACATGCTCCATCTTCACATCAATCCATCTCAACCTGTTGACTTTGGAACCTTTAGTTTTAAGCGGAAAAATGCAGAGATGGAAACAGATATGGCGAGAAATAAAAATAAAAAAGGACTCCTCTAGAGCCAATAGTTGCTGCAAAGCTGAATTGTTTGACTTGTTAAATTGAAATATATGCAAAAACTCATTAAAGATAAAATCAAAGTGTCTCTTATATTTCTATTTTCAGAGGTAAAGTTAAATGTACACTGTCTCTAAGCCTCTTATTATCCTTTAATGTAATTTGTAACTTCAGTTGTTTTACTTCACACTAATTTCTGTAACAAGTATTAGAATAGTTTAACCTTACCATTAATAATATATATTTTCATAGTTATATTTGCTTTAAGTCACTACTTGTTATGCAACAGTTGCACATTTTTACCATATGAATGCCAATGTTGATCAGTGTTCCCCTACATATACATAGACTAAAATAAATACATGGAGCTGGCATTAATGTAACCTGATCTCTGATGATTGTTATTTTTATTTAAAACTACTTTAAAACATTCTAACAGAATATGATAAAAATGTAACCATTGTAGGAAGCAGAAGGAGGCAGTTCGAATAACACCAGCTATAACACATGTAAACTGCAGATTCACAGCTGTAGAGACAGGAGGGCTGTTCAGAAGCTCAGTGACGTGGTCAGATAGGATGACCTCAACTTGAACACCTCGTGTGCGTGTCTGCGTGTGTCAGTAAGAGTGAAACGAAAATCTCAGACCTCTGCCGAAGCTGCAGAGAGGTGTGAAAGAGCGAGAGAGGACGAAGGAGAACGAAGGGTAGGCCTCTGGGTGTGTGTGGGAGGGGTTCTCTCTCAGCCCTGCGGTGTGTCCTGGCAGAGAGACAGAGCGGCGCTGTAATCTCCCGGCCAGTGAGCGGCAGCACCTTTCATTTCCACAGGATTACACCGGGCTGCTGGTCCGCTCACAAACAAGGCAAAACACATGAAGACACGAACAGAGGACAGAGCCACACCGCCGCACTGCATGCGGGAGATAACTCAGCAGTTTGGTCGTCCCATGTTCCAACTCCTCCCATAAGCCACATCAAACCCAGGAGGGCTTCTGGAGGGAAGCGAGAGCGGGAGAGAGAGAGAGCGAGAGAGAGAAGGGAGAACTGGGGGGGAGCAGAGGGGGCCATAAAGCCTGCGTGCCCACCTTGTTCCTTTGCCACGTTTATTGTTGCGTTTTTAATTTGCATGCAGAGGGATTTGGACGCCGCTCCGGTTGGGCTGTCTGTGGTTTCAGCTGATTCGGTATTGAAGAACACACACACACATAAACACACACACCAACGCACAGCATCTTGTCAAAGCCAGAGAAACAGTACCCAACCCCAACGATGGAGTAATCCAACTCAAACACTCCCCAAACCAGCAGGATTAAACCCAAAGCAGCAGAGCCAATCAAACAAAGGCGCGACGTGAACTCCATTTCAATGCCAGGAAGTCCATTTGATTAAATAAACTACTGAGAGTTTATTAGTTCACAAGTATGAATGTTTTTTTTTTTTGTGTTTGTTTGTATTTGGCTTTTTTTCTTTATTTCTCTGCCAATTTGGGGGCAGTTTAGCTTTTAAAGAAAGAAATCATGGGCCACAAAAGGAGATTTTACTAAACATTTCTGTTGTATACGCCATGCATGCCAAGCAGCGGTTAAGTCTCCTCGCAGCCAGCGCCGAGGACAGTGGACAGTCAGCATTTTCCATGGCAGTTTCAAGAGCTTTGTTTGTGTTTGTCTAATTGCATTGCTTCCACAGGCCAGGCAGAGGCAGCAACACGGGAAAAAGATGCACATGAGGAGCAAAAGAAGATAGCATGTCCCTCGTGTCTCTGAACCACCGCCGGGAGATTTAAGGCTCCCCTTTAAATCCATAGCATAGTCAAATAACAACGAATATGCTAAAAGGTTGCTGTGATGAGAAGTTTAAATACACTTACACACGTTAACTTGGGAATTTTAGAATGCATTTTCACCAAATCAGAAAAGGAAGAGCTTAAGTTTAAGTGTGATGATTCTTTTTGTGGAAGTTATCCACAAGTAGAAAATGTCTTCTGGGGTAATTTTAAAGCAACTGCAGATTCCAAGAGCTGTTTGTAAGTCAATTATTGTGCCAAAGGGAGGAAAACTGGTTTGGATGTTCCGGAACAAATCAGGGACTAAGATTTAGGCGTAGATGAACCAGAAAACCGTTGGATCATCAGTGTCCCTGTCCACAGTGAGGCCATTTTAACTCTGACCAATTGACTAACTAGCTACAAAAACAAAAGGAGAGTTTGGAGAATTCAAGGTGGGCTCAGCATCCTGATGATACTAATTTTTACTAACAGCAGTGCTGCTGTACTACACAAGTTGAATGGGATAGCAAAAAGAAAAGATAAAAACTTCAAATCTCTTAATTTTACCTTAAAATCAACAACCAGTCAGGAAAAAATGGTATTTCCATTCCTTGTTGATGGCTATAGAAGCCCAAGGAACAGACAGTAGAGCTAACAGAGGGTGCATGTTCCTATCAGAGTCTATGTATACTTTTAACATTTCTGAATTAAATGAAAATCCACAATAGATAGACAAAAATGACTTTCTCAAATAGTTTTATGATGTTTAATTCGTGAAAACAAGAACAATTTAATTTGACAGTTAATCTTATAATAAATGTGCGAAATTGTCGCACCAGAACAGCTTGAAGAGAGATGTATATTTTCCATAAGCTTTACAGCATTAACTTGATTCTATGTTTAACATTCCTGCTCTCACACTTGTGTTATTATCACACAGTTGCAAATCTGTTTTCCCCCTTATTGTTTAATGTAATTTGTGGAGCCTCTCAACTGCAGCTGACAAGCACCGACTGCTCTTGATTGGATCACAGAACTTGCTGCCCCTGCCGCTAAAGTGTCTCAATATGTTCCAGAAAACAGAAATCTAGGGCTCTTCAATGCAGTGTACTCTGTGTTTTGTTGTAGATCATTAAGGGCTCTCTATAAATAAATAGAACAAGTGGCTCAGGATAGGCCCAGCAGAGAAATTCAAACAGCACACAGATTTTCCCATGTGACAGTTTAACCATCTTGATTTGAAAAGAGCACGAACACAGGAACTGGGAGACTTGAGGAACTTGCTGTGACTGATAAGATAAATATCATTTATAGATGACCTGCATTCGTATGAGAAACAGAAGTAAGATGCTTTTAGTAAGAGGACTGTGCATCTTCACATCTCTGATCAAACCACGTTGTAATAAACCACAGGGAACAATGTCAGAGAGACTTGAATTCGGATCCCATCAAGCATAAACACCAAGAACTGAGATATGAGAGAGGTCAAGATGTTAAAGATCTCCCATATTCAGTTTATACTTCATTTCATCTCCAATTTAAGCTACAGTGAATGATTTTTGCTAATTTTTTAAAAGCCCCGACCTCTCCAATTGAAAAAAAAAATGCACATGCAAAACCCTGTACCCGCTTCCAAGAGGGAACGCTTTGTTTAAAATTTGCTGTTCTCATAGCTCATAAAAGCCCTACTTTCCATTAGAAGATTTGCAATTTTTCCTCAATGTCAGACTCACCACCAGTAAGTGAAAATGGGGACGAGTATGTACCATTGCCTTATCTAAACATATCACCAGAATGATTGACAATTAGGAGGACCACTTATTTTGATGATCCACCCCGAAAAAGAACATCCTCCACTATAACTTTAAGTTTCCTTAAAGCTGATAGTAGAAACTACATTGCACTGAAATCCACTGAATTTGTTTCAGTCATAGAGAGCTTACTGCAGCTCTCTATGACTGTGATTCATGAAAGGTTGATGGTCAGTTATTTTGTAGGGGAGTACCTCTACACCGCACCCAGTAGAGCAACAGTAAGACAACCCTGCATGTCTTTACGC